ATGGGTATTACACCTGATCCACAACAAACTCTTTTCCCACCCGTTTCCGATGTAGTGTTTGTGGTCGAATCTACCGCCAACCTTGCAGCCCATATAGACGTGCTGAAGACTTCTTATATAATTCCCACACTTGAGTAAGTTGTAACGTTTATTTTTTTTTATCTCTCATTGTCTTTTACTTCGGTTTTGTTAGCCATTGTAATGTGAACCGTATCTGACGTGACCCGTTTGTAAATTACGGATGACCAACGGTGTAATAAAAGAGATTTCTTTTAGTTTTAATTGTTAACTAATTTCTGTATATAAACAGCATTAAATAACATATGTAATGTTTTTGTTTTTAATCGTTTATCGAAAAGATTAGTTTTTAATTATCTTTGTTTTTTTTTTATCAATGATTTGCCAAGAATTACTTTTTAATAATTGTTAAGTTTTTAGATAAATTTAGACTAGAGATTTTTCATTTTTAGAATAATTAAATATTTCACAGAGGCCAAGGTTTGCTGGATACATTTGGATTTTGCTGATTTTACAAGTATATGAATTCAAAGAACGTAAATGTGATGGAAGACTTGAACTGACAATATAAGAAAATAAATCTTTTCTAAAGCTAAAATACAAACAATGAAAAACTAATTGACATTATAATAATTAATTTACAGTTTCTGTTTAATGATTGTTAGATTGCTTATTGTTTATTTTTTCCTGAACTACTAGCCTAGTGATTAATTCGGTCAAATCTATTATTTTCCTTATTTTATAATTAAAAAAAAATAAAATTAATTTGAAAGAAAAATAGTAATAAAAAAATACTTTTGAAACTGATATTTTGTTTTTATTTGTAAATCGTAAGTAAATTCTACATTTCTATTTTCATTTCTTTCATTCGATCTCAGATTTCCTTCCTGATAGAATGACTACTTAAACAGCTTTTTATTTAAGCTGACAATCGCAAAAGAATGATTCATGCCAATTCTTTGTTTTCTTTTTCCTTTTTGGCCACCCATAGAATGAAAAAGGAAACTCTTCACAGGACGTGAAAAAGGCTTATCGTGCTTTTTAGATGTTTGTATTTATTACACTTAATGCTTGCATATTTGCTTGTTTGACTTATTTTTCCGATGAGCTTTGTATTTTTTCTAAGATTTCTGTATCGCCTAGTTTGCTAAAATTTGTGTAATTTTTCTAGATGCAAATTCCTCGCATTTTTTTAAAATACAGAAGATGTGGGGTGTTATTAAAAATGCAGCCATGCTGATTTAGCGAAACGAAATCGTCAAGAAGAAGAAAGAGAAAAATAAAAAGGAAGCTTTTTAATTTTTTGCTGATTATTTGACATTTAAATATTTTTATCTCAGTCTTTTTGAAAACGTTTTTAATTTTTAATTTCTTTTTTTTTACTTTTATTTTAAGCGATCTAGATTTTCTTTTCTATGAATTTGTCATTTTCTCTCTCTCTCTCTCCCCCAATTGATCAAATCAAATTTAAATATTAAAAAAGAAAGAAGAAAATTAATTTAGTTCTCGACTTGTAAATAATAAGTGGAAATAATTGTCAAATTTTAATAAGGAACAAAAATAATCTTAAATCGTCTTAAACTAAAGAAATTATTTATTTTTATGTTGGATCAAAAGGAAAACTAGTTTATTTTGATTTTGAAACTGGAAATGTTCGAAGATTTATCAAAATTTATGTTTTACTTTTATTTATTTTAAAACTTTTTTTTTTTTTTGTTTTTTTGCTTATATAAGAAATGCTTAGCAACAACACAAAGTATTTAATTTCTTTTAGAATTTTATTTTTTTTTACGTATTTTTCAATATCTTATTTAACGTTTATTAATAATAATATTAAAATCTGCGATCATTTCAAGCGACTTCGATATTTCTCGCTTTTTCAATTTTTATTTATTTTTACCAAAATTAAGATTATCTTCTTTAAATAATAAATGTTGTTTGTTTTTTTTACGAAACTAAAATTGTACAAGTTCTATTTCAGCTAAGACAATCTTAGAAAATAAATAAATCATCCCCCCCCCCAAAAAAAAACTTTTATCAATGAACTTGCAAAACTTAGTAAATTCCTAATTTTAAGTTGATAGCAACAATATCAAAAAATGACAAAAATAAATTAGAATCCGCCATTTTGTAACATTAGCCTCGTTTTGGTTTTTCTCTTAAAGATTGGCATGAAAAAAAATTATTCTTCCAAGAGAGGAAATTTCGAAAAGTGCTTGTTTGAACCGTTTCCTCAAGTGTTATATATATATATATATATATAAAATTAAGTCTGTATTGTCCTGATTGTATATATTTCTCTTCGGAATATCCCAAGAGAAATAAAAGTTTAATATTTGGTAAAGTGTCCTCTAAATATTTAAGATTAACATATGGCATCTATTAATGTCTTAAATTAAGGCTAAATTATGTACATGGTAGTCATTCATCTGTCTCTGGATATTATTGCATTAATAATAAGACAAAAACTCACTGGACAAAATACCAGCCTCTTTAACCTAGTATCGCAAATAAACATCTCGTAAATTTAACATTGAAAATTCAAGGCAGTTTTAATTCAAATTAGTGTTAGGCAAAAGGCAAATGGCCTTTACACCTAATCTTATTAATCTTACTAGAAAGACCATGACAGCCAGATTTTTGGTAATTGCCTTTATTGGTTTCTGTCATTTGATACTGTGCGTCTCGAAAAATGAAGCTTTTATTGTGGCCACTATGATTTCTTGGCGAAGCTCATAGTGTAGTATCTGTTATTGGCTTAATCTGATTCTTTCTCTCCACTTCTGTTTTCTCTTCTTTCTTTCGTTCATTTTCTCACTGAAACCAAATAGTGTCTTTCCTCTTTTTCCATGCGATTAGAATAGTTCATTATTTATGAGGTACTGGTAGGGCGTGACGATTGTGCAAACTAGCAAAGGCCGATACATACACAGTTATAATAGGATATGAGATTGGGATTTTGTTCACTTTTGGGATAAGAGGCTGGGTTTTTGTCATGAATTCATTGAGTCTGTTAGGGTGGTTAGCTAAATCCCATTACTGATGCCTTCTTAGGCATATTTTTTGTTTTGTCAACACCTACAAAGCCAGTCTGTGCTTTCTACTTCAACAAGTACCTTATAGTTTCTGTGAGAGAGTGCATTGGTAGTTGCCTGAACATGGCCATTTTGCTCAAACAATCTCTTGTGACGATGTGCCAGTGCAACAACCATTGACGACTCCTGAACAGTTTTGTTGACTCCATATCATTCTCAAAGTTTGAGTCCATCCATGCTGGCTGTGTTGTTTTTTTTTTTTTTTTGTTTTTCAGGCCCTCTCCAACAGTGCTGCATACTAGGTTCATCTCCCTAGTCTGATTATCAAGACGTCTAAAAGAATTCTTTTCCCTGGGAGGGGAGAGAGAATATCTTCTCTCTTATCCTGAACATTAAACAAAGTGTACAAAAATGCCACAAAGCTAAATGATATTTCAAAGGAACAAACATTTATTATAACAAAAAAAAAACAAAACAACAGAATACAATATTTACAGGCTCGCAGAAAATCTCAGAAATCTTGGACCTTTGTGCCTACAAAAAAAAAAAGTTAAAATATGGTTTTTCCCTTGACACTGCTATTATTTTAACTAACTTCATTCTTTAGCATTGTTTGTTTTAAAAAAGTGATGATTGGAATTTTAATAAAATCTGAACATTGGAAAATGAATTTATTCATTTTCTTATTTCTTGAGAACTGACACAAAAATAATAGACGATTTATTTATTTGATTGTTTATTTATACTATTTATTTATTGAAATACTTGGTAAAACAGGCTAATTGCTAATTGATTCAAACTTTAAAAACTGGTAAATAAAAATTTCTTTATAACCTTTTCATATATTTAGTAAATGTTTATAAATTTATGAGTAAAAAATTGTATTTATTTCTTTTATGTATTGGTAAGTGATAAATATTATATTAGTTTTTAGAATGTTGTAAATATAAAATTGTTCTTTATAGTTTAATATTTTTCTTGTAAATACTCAAGACTAAAAAAAAAAAATGTATAAATTCACTTTTGCATATGTTTAGGTTTTATTACAATTATAATCATTGATTTTTGAAACCATAAACTTTACTGAAGCGTGAAGGTAGTTAAAATAATAGCGGTATCAAAGGAAAAACTGCTCTTTTGACATGCTTTTATTTATTTATTTATTTTTCTTTTGTGTGTGTGGGTAGAAAGGTACAAGATTGCCAAAATTTTCTTTTGTGTACCTTCTGTGAGGCAGATAACAGATCAAAATATGTAAATTATCTTAAAAAGATTTACAAAAAAATCTTTGAACATTGAGAAGGTAATACATAACTTTAAACAAAGTAGAAAATACTATTTAAAAAAAAAAAAAAAAAACTTAATTGAAAGATGAAAAATACAGCAGAGAGAATGGAGCTTTGGTAATTCCACTGATGCCATAGGGACTTTAACAGTTTAGCTTTTTTCTTCTGTGAGTTTTATTCACAGATTTCAGTTCCTTTGTGTTTTTTTTTTTTTTTGTTTTTTTTGTTTTCCTTTGAGAATCAACCCAGCTAATCCACAAGGAACAGTCAAAAATTGCTTTGCGTTGTGGTTGCCTCATCTTTCTGCTTTCAGGACAGAATTTTCCTGCCACTTGGTTGAAAAATTTTGACTTCTTTCTGGAGAATTTCTGTGCTTTCTGGTTTAAAACAACAACAAACAAACAAAAAAAAATTGAAACAAAATTTATTACCTTCTGAAAACTATCTGCTGGCTCTTTTTATATAACAACTGAAGGGGCTCCAGACTGATCTTAACTTTAAATCTTCATGGCCACAAACCACACTTTTGATTGTACAATAAATAGAAAAATTGTGTGTGTATATATATATATATATAATATATATATATATATATATATATATATATAAAATAAAAATCACTACAAAAATAACTATTTTGTTTCATTTATAACATATTTATGTTATAATTTTTAAATAAATATTATATCTGCTCTACTCTGTATTGAGCACTCTTTTAAGAATAGTAATTGTTGGTTATTGAATTCATTCCATATACCAATTATATACTTGTATGTATGTATATATATATATATA